CACGATCTATGGTAAATATTCAACCTGCGAAAAACAATTTTTCAGACGTAAGCAGACACGATAAGAGAAAAGTATGGTACGGATATGAAATGACAGGTTTGAATGAGGCTTCGAAGTATGTTGAGATACAGGAGATACAAGAAAATATCAACGAGGAATTTCGTTCCAACAATTTGGACACGGATGTGAGGGCCGTAATGTATAACAATATCATATTTATATACGTCAAAGAGGAAGAGAAGAGGAAGAAGAAACGGGGACAACGCATCATGCCAACCTTTTTTGCCTTGTTCCTGGGACACAAGTATTTTTTCTGCTCAAAGAAGAATGTACCAATCGACTATGTAAAAGTGATGGCTGTCAGCCTGGGTTACAGTAACAGCAAAAGGATCAAGCTAATGGGCAAGAATCTCAGATCTTTAATAAAATTGTTATGGATTAAGCAACAGGGCGCTTTACGTGCCGAAGACATTAGTCAACCACCAGTTTACCAACCGTCCAATTCTACCGTCAGGTAATATTTAGAAAATCTTTCCTTATTTGTCTTACAGACAAATTACAATTATACACTCTATACGTACTTTGAGATTATTTTGCAATTGGATTGAACGCACTATGTGATACATTTTATACATTGTATAACGTGCAAGTCTCGTTACAGTAATAACGGTGTGGATTATACACAGACCAAGCAACGAAAAAAGTATGCAGAGCGATGTTTTGGCAATGACCCTCCGACTCTAGAGATGCTCGTTATAAAAGGGCCAGAGGAATCTATAAAACATGACACTGTGGCTTCGAAGTTACCTGATGACAGTATACGTATGAAGTAAGATTTTTTTTTACATCTACCGAGATGATAATATCGTACGTTCTCATTTGAAATTTTTTTCTGTTTCAGCTGGGAATTTCGTAGTCGCAACATAGCTAGGTTTTTAATTGCTTTAGTTGAAAAACGTGCGTTTACGCTGCCTTTGCCCGATTATGTATCTAATCTCATGACAGTAGGAAAAAACGAATTAACACTTCGGACTGACCGGCAAAACCGGTCGAAAACATGAATTTCTTATGGTAACAAAATTAAGTATTTCATGCACGCAGTGCCTGCATATTGTTTATATCAGCTGTAAAAAAAGTGTTAGATATTAATTTGCTAAATAGTAACGATGCCTAAAGCTGCAAAATTAATATAATCAACAATCGTGTATAAAATAATAAGATTATATAGACTAAAATTGTACATACTCTGACATAATGTAACTAATATTTAAATTTGAGTAAAGTACATTGTTGTAATGAAAGAGCAGCGAGAAAAATTAACGATTAAAAAGTCAGCCCTTCGAGTTCAAACTAGTGCAGATGAAAACAGAGTGCAGAACACTGTATTAAATTTATTGTATAATTTTGTTGTTACATAGAAATGTGTGCCATTAAAAGCCTCT